CCCGCGGGCGCCCTCGGAACCAGTGCGTGTGGGTGTTTTTCGTGTCAAAAGACCCCGAGCTCATTGAGCAGAGAATGCGTTCAGACGATCCTAGAAAGGTAAAGGTGTCTTAGACACACGAGCCTCGCACGAGGCAACAGTTAAATGTGATGTGGGTATTTACAATCCTGATGGGGGAAAGAGTAACGGAATTAACGTACCCTGGTATGAAGTCATAGGTCACACCATCTTGTGTGATCGTACAAAGGTGTGGATTACACAAGACGGTGAAATCGCACAATGGTGTGGCTACACCGTAACTAGAAGCCAGTACGTGACGGGACTGCCACTTCTTATGCATATCAATTAGGTTTTGCTATTCAATTAGGAAAAACTAAGGTTCTAGAAGTAGGCGGCCTTGTCGCAAATAAAACAGATAGATACAAGTTTAATTTTGAGCGGAAGAGTGTATCAGCTTCGGATTAAAGTTTGCGGTACTCTTGGAGGTAGTGGATTGCGAACCGCACACTCGTACTGGTTCTAGTATAGAACGTATGGTCGGTAGCCTTAGTAAGTTAAGAGCTACGACAGCCTAACTGCATGCAGAACATGGGAGGTGCAATAATGTTGCTGGGAGTCTTGAGCAGAGATTGGGAGACTGAGAGGACTAAAAGCCGCATTTTACAGAGTAACCCTGAGCTGAGGCGAAAACAGCGGCGGTGGTTTTCAGGTTTTAGATAGGCTGCAACAGATGTGAATAAAAGATCCTACAAGGTTTTCACATGATAAAATGTATTAGATGTTAAACTGATTGAGTTGATGTCGGTTTTGTTATTGGAGAAGCTGGTTATCAGTCATGGTTTCGGCCCGAAGAGCACTGAGCGTGGCTTGTCCCCAAGCCCTATGTAGTATAAAGAACGCGATTTGGCCACGAAAGATCCGCCATGGGTTGAGGGGTTCATCAAGAATTCAATTTCGGAAACAACTACTGATAAGCAAGCAAATGCCACCCGCCAAGGAAGCAAAACAACAACGTAGACACTTCGTATCGTTTATGCACGAAACATTCACTTAGGAGTAAATTGCTGGGTCCGAACGGATATCATTATAAAGTTGAATGTAGCTGTTATTCTGGCGTAAATGTATATTCTTTAATTTGGGCGGATCGCTTTTATTTTAGATGTTGGTGGTTTTTATCAACTGCATAATAGTACCTGCTAATTTCCCAGGCAGTAGTGAGATTTCCCAAGTGAAATGCTCTTAAATTGACTAGTTGTGCCCATTGTACTGGCTGATGATTCGAGTTGGTCAACTGGCTCGGAGAACCTAAAGCGCTTGTAAATTGATGGAAAAGATGGTAGCTCCCGTATAGATTCCATTGCGACGATACCTCGTCCCCAACAATACGTTCCGCGTTTGATTGAAGGTATGTTTGCTCACACCAAGCTCATAATATGCCCGCAATGTTGGATTAAGTTGGAAGGGTTTTCCATCACCAAGATTCTTCCCCTGATCAAGCGACTCTGTGCCCGTTCTTAGGGGCACGTCGAGGTCCAACTCGGAAATTAGTAAATATACACTCTGGAAGTCGCACCTTACCTTACGACCTTTACTTTTGTTAAAAAAGACGAAGTGAGTATATTGAGGTCCTTACTTCACTATTCCGAGTTACCTTTAAGCCTTTCCTATGGCGTTATTCTGGGCGCAATCGTGACGCGTCATTGTGGCGCAATCATGTCGTCCTGTGGTCCGGAGATTCGATCGCGAAACGTATGCTGTAAGCCGTACTTCTAACACTCCTCCTCGCGATCGTGTCTCCGCCGTCATAACCAGCGCAACCCCACGAGTGCTTGCAGCTCTGCAAGCTTGTGGTGGTCCAACGCCTTTGTGAGTAAGTCCGCGAGCAAAAGCTCTGACCGGACGTAGCACATCTCAACGACGCCGCGACGAGCAAAATCCTTAACAAACTTGAGGCGCACATCGATATAAGACCTCGCGCTTGAAGTACAGGCACATGTCGCTGATACACTGCTTGAATCCTGCGTCAGTGAGACTTGCGTGTAGCAATTGACTCCATAATCGTCTTGCCTGCTTCTGTCCATACAGGCTCTTCTTTAGCTCAAGCGCGACTTCGGTTGCGTTGGTCGCACCAGGCTTCTTTAGTTGTTCATCCCAAATGTCCATACCGCTAGGCACATGGAGCAGAATCTCAAGGTCCTTCTCCTTGTCTGCCTTGACGTAGGCGTTCGGGATGTAACCATGCTTTGCCGGCACCG